TCCCCGAAATTGTAAACTGCCGGAAAATCGCAGGGTGCTATTGCTATACTAGTGATCTTCTTCAAGGGCCCCAGCAGTAGTACTAGTGATAACATTACTGTTGCACATTCCATTATTGATCAATGGACACTGAAATTGAAAATGTTATATTTTTGAAGTAAGCAGTGGCATTTATCTCGTTACTTGTCATTTGCTCTTCTCTGTTGTAACTTATTCAAATTAGAAAAAGCCGTGATGAAATTCTTTTCCAAGTAAAAACAACCGGACCATTAGGCTAAAACCATAACTGTTTGGATTGAATTGACTTCGCTTTTTTTTTTTGTGGTTATAACTTATAAGCCAAAATAGCTTTTAACCATTTTTGTAATGTTGCAGTATGATAAAAATACTTTTATAGTATTTGGATAAGGTTAAAAAAATATTTATAGCACTTCTTTTTAAGCGGGTAAATAAGTGTTTATAGGCGCACTTCTTCTTAAGTGGATAAATTATTTTTTATATAACACTTCTTTTTAAGCGAAAATAACAATAATTAGTCAAAACCGTAAGTTATGAAACCTAATTATAACTTACGCTTGTAAGTTCTCAATCCGTTATTGTTTTTCTTCCTTTGAGGGGGCTCTTTAATAGATCAGAAACCAAGATCTTCTCCTAATGTGAAATGTCTACACGCTAGTTCTGAATGACTATTTAGTAGCTCATAATTAAGCTCTAACACTGAACTAGAGGTTGATTAGGGCAGGTTGGTGCTAGATTTGAGGCTTACAATTGACCTACACGTGGGCCATTAGGAGGGTGTTTTGTTGTAAAGTCATTTGTTTCACGCAAGAGATCTCGCGAGTTATCCGATTTAGAGCGCTTGTAGTTATATCAAAATTTTTGATTGCTGAGTCTTCTCTAATTTTAATTCAACCACAAATTATAGTCTGGTTTGTTCGTTGCCAAGCATAGATTTCACCCCTTAAATAAGTTGGTCCAATTTGATCAAATTATCGCGATTCAATTCTAAATAAAATTATATACCAACCAAATATCATATCATCATCATATATTGCTATAAGTGGGAACAAAAAATGTTAAAAGTTGAATTATAGTTTTACCCCTACTATAAATTAAAATGTTATAAAACATTTAACTATTTGATTAAAATATTAAATTGTATCATTTTAATTAACATGTTAATGACTTTTGCACTTCCTTAAATTAATTCCTAATTAAAATATCTAAATTAATAACATTTATCATCTCGACTCTAATCTATATGTATATATAATAATAGATTAATAATAATTAAAAAAATCCCAAAAATCTCTATATAAATTAGTCAACTTTTCTTCTCATAACTTTTTCCGTCCGTAAATAATATAATTTATGTGGATAAAGTATTATCCTTTAAGATAAATAAAGAAACTTAATAATTTAAAAGGGTGCAAATCTGCAAAATGGAGAGATACACACTATTTGCATTAAATAGTTTTATTCATAAATCATAACTCATATCTAATTACCTATTCAATTTTTATACTTTTGATATCCATAACTCTCATCTTTTCATATCCATAACCTCTAAATATTTAATCTAAAACTTTAAAATATCTTTTGGTAATCCTTCATTTCTGTCTATATAAATTCAACTTTTTTATTTCATGAAACCCCTACCAAGATTATTATTTTTCTTCTATAGTTAAAGTAGATGAAGAAGACTCTTGATAGAATATGAAAGAAAGAGTCAATAAGAACTCGGAAAATTATGTACTCAAAATATATTTTTATTTGAGCTCAAATTAGCCATTTGTGACTTTATTGAAAGTTTCCTAACTATTAACTAAAGTTCAAAAGTTACAGTTGGTTGCTTAAAAAGAATTAATTTGAACCATCAAAATATGCCCTTCATTTGGTGTTTTTTAGTTATATATTTATTTATAATTATGTATTAAATTACTCATTACATGCTCTTTACGTTACATATACGTTTCTAACATTTTAGTCATTCTCACATATCTAATTATCTATAAAAATATATTGGTAATATTACATCTTCAACCAACTGACAGTGCCCTTGAATCACTATAACAAGAAAACTGTCACTTATTGAAAATTTTATAATATTAAAAAAAAAACCACTAAAAGAAATTAAGAGAAAAGAAAAGGGAAGCAAATCTTAGAGAAGAATCCTTCTCCCGAGAAAGATGGAATGTTATGAACCTTCCAGCCCAATGTGGATGCCAGAGTTATGAAAATAGTTATTGGGTTGACAAGAGCTATTGGATCGAGAACAACCAATAGGGTCAGGTTAATTTGAGATCCGGGTTGAGAAGTGGGAGTGGAAACAGTTCCATCAAAAAGGTTAGTGGTATCTGATTTAGGAATTATGCAAATTATTGAGAAACATGTCTAGTTCTTTCGTCCCCTTTCTTTGAGTCTATGCTTTTCATCTCCCTTCTAGTTATCTTCTAAAATTGAATAAGTAGTTGTAAAACCCTTTTCTTCTTCCCTGAACCCTTAACTATAGAGCGTTATTTTGAAGAAGAAAAAGATGTGCATGTGCAGAGAGGAGAAGATAAAGAGAATCTTCAATAGATTTGACAGTAATAAAGATGGGCATCTCTGCCTGAGGCGTGGATGATGGCTGTAGAACCCGAATTGAAAGAATTCCGGGCACCCTTTTAAATTACATCCCCACTGCCAACCGTACCCGAGGCCTAAGCTATAATGAATTCACCCTAATTTATCATCACCACAAAGAACGTCACCATATTTATGCACCTTTGAAGGTATATATAATTCTTCAATTATTACTAGCTGAATTTGTAGTTTTTGGAATTCCAACTCTTTAGAATGATACAGTTAATCAGAGATCATTCTCCTCGTCTTTAAAACATCAAAGTTTAATAAATGAAATTTTGTTGAACATCCAAAATCACATTTGTAGATTAACTTACAAAATTTGATCCAATCATTTTGAATAATTGCAATGTATTTTTGGGATAAATAGTTTTGCTATGCTGACAATATTGCACAAAGCTTACATTTATACTCCCTCCGCTCCATTTCAATTTATGTGAATTAGTTTATATCTAGTTGCCCCATCAAAGAGGAGAGGACAAAGAAAATCTTTGACAAGTTCGACGCTAACAAAGATGGCCATCGATCTGATCAACATGATGGAGCTGCTGGAATGGATCATGATTCATGGCTGTAGAACACAAATTGAATTACGAGATTCGGAAGTATCTGACCATGCTTTCAGACTACCTCTACAGTAGTTTCTCATCTACCCTAGTTGGTTATATATAAAAAGGCCTATGCTATACTGGTTTCAGCGAAATTTATCAGCATAAAAAACGTGTCCTTGATTTTGACTTCAACACCCTCTAATTCCAGCAAGAAAAAACTAATGCAATTCAGCAGGTATAATAACTTGAGTCTCCAGCCTCTACTTCCATAACAAATTAATATTCACTCACTTTATATATATTTGTGGTAGTGTTCAAAGAGTGTCCGTCTATCACCCACAAAGACAATAGAGAAAAAGAAAACGACACATCAAGTTCAGGCAAGTATTTCACACAACTCCAATCTTAAATAATTTTTCACCTTCACTTGAATTGTATTTTTTGTTTGTTAAAAAATGTGATCTTTCTATGAAAATTTTATAGGGAGGAACGATCAACATAGCTGGGCAGGTCAATAATTACAGAAACACAGTGCAACAAGTGGTACAAATACCTCAACTGCCTTTAATACTATTTGACAACATTTTTGATAATGTTGATCTAGACATAAATGACAAGACAAGATATTTTACCAAACTCTTATTGTAAATGATCTTTAATCTTCACTCTACGAGGCCAAATTGACTATAGATGAGATTTTATATGGAAGGTAGACTTAACTGTTAACTGTAAAATTCATTAACCATATGTGAAGTTGACTGTAGCGATGGTGTACAACACACCTTCACTTAGCTGCATCCTAGAAAAAGTCAGTGAAGAGGATAAAGCTGAATTTAATTACTGGTTATACATAATCTTTTGGTACTGACGTTGGATTCTGAATTCGTAGTTTACTTAAATTTAACTTTACTCTATTTTTATTAAGCTGAGGCTTTTAAGTTATTTATAATATTCTTAGCGTCTTTCTTCACAACTATCAAAACGCTGTAGAAGGTGTTAAGTCAAAAGGAGAGTATAAAGGGCCTGATCCTCAACTGGCTGCTACTCTTGAAAAGGAAATCTTGGATACTAATCCAGGGGTGGGATGGGAATTGGGATGATGTTGCAGGACTAAATGAGGCAAAGAAGCTTTACAGGAAGCAGTGGTACTCCCACTGTGGATGCCTAAATATTTCCAGGTACTGCTGATAGTTGATTCTGAATATAGGCATACTACAAAGTACAAAATGATGAGTGTGTGTTTGGTAAAACGGAAGTTATATTTTAGGAAAATATCTTTCATTAGTTTCTGGTGTTCGGGGGTGGGGAGTGATGTTGCTCGAAATAACATTTATACTTTATTATTTAATCTTTTACTAATTACAATTTTTCATCAAAATACTTCTGAATTCGCTAGTATTATTATTTTTCGTATATATTTTAGAGAATTTTCTAGGAATCTGTATTCCTGAAAAAATGTTTTCGCCAGAGCTAGAGGAAAATGACTTCCGCCATACCAACTACACGGCATATTTTCATTTCTTTTGCCTTGTAACAAACTGTTCATCAGAGGTGGATATGCTCCTCAGCACATAATTAAGAAAATAAGTTGGTAATAGGTTTTTTCTATTGAAACTTGAATAGGCTGATATATTCGTCGTCACATAACGAGGGTACAATTTGATCCAATAGGAAGTTGCAATTTCTTGCTGATTTATAAGTTTTTGAGTTGCAGCTATGCACATGTTGTAACTACTAACTACATGGCACATTAATAAAAGAGTAACGAATACTTATTATGAAACTTCTAATAGAGAACATATTTGATGTTACTTGCAGGGAATCAGGAGACCTTGGAGAGTTCTTATGTTTGGTCCTCCTGGCACAGGAAAAACTCTTGGCCAAAGCTGTTGCTACAGAGTGTGGGACAACATTTCTGAGTGTTACTTGTTCTTCGTTGTATGCAAAATGGTACGGTGAGAGTGAACGATAGGTACGGTGCTTGTTTGACCTTGCCCGTGCTCGGGCTCCAAGTACAATTTTCATTGATGAAATTGATTCTCTCTGCAATGCCAGAGGGTAAGTAATCTGTTACTTTCTAAAGTGATTACATATATACGTGACAACTGAGGATATTTTTCATTTTCATCCTGTTGTGTAAGGTTTGTTTTCATCACTATATGTGCTAAAGCTTCTAGGCGTAGATATATGTTACGGGTCTACACGTCCTAGTAACTAAACTTCAATCATCTATTAGAACTTGATTGGAGATGAACCGTATATTAGTTTCATGACGTTCTTGCCTTTTACAGAGTAAATAAGTGATGTGTCTCTACTAGTTCAAAGCTTTACATAGGAGCTTCAGAGAGCAGAGAAGGTTAAAAATTAATTTGAAACCTTAGAAGAATACCTAGTAGGAAGAAAATTAGAGGCTGTATGTTTTTATCAAAACTGAATCATACTTTAGTTTCATTTGAGCAGCTTAGTCTGCACTGATGAACTGATAATGACATCCATACATACTGGCATGTATATGTTTTTCGACTTCCAATTAACGCGTCTGAGCAGTGCAATTGGAGGTCGCAGTGACTTTAAACTGATATATGTTAAGATCATATCTATAGCATGTTAGTAATTATCTTATCAGGTCACATATTAATGTTTCATCAACTCTGAACCTTCTTCTTAGGGATTCTGGAGCGCATGACGCGTCCCAAAGAATGAAGTCTGAACTTCTAGTTCAGATCGATGGGTTAAACAACTCCACTAATAACACTGCAGGCAAATCAGTGACAGTTTTGGCAGCAACAAATTTCCCCTGGGATCTTGATGAGGCACAAAGGTTAAGTTTCCTAGTCAATATTAGCTTTCTTTTGTTTCCCTCTGATTTGTCTTGTGTTTCATCTCTGGATCTTGGCTAATTGGTGATTCACTGTACTACTGTAGGAGGCGGCTAGAAAAGAGGATTTACATCCCGCTTCTTGATTTTAAGAGCCGAAAGGAGGTTATAAGGATAAACTTAAAATCAATCACGGTAAGCTCTCATTATTGTTGTCAACTAGAATCTTAATTTGGAGGTACTGTGCTTCATTGTCTTGTAAGAAGAAGTTCATCTACTAATATTGACATCATATGTATTTTCCCTGCTCTTGAGATACGGACAACTGCTAATCATCAAAGGAGAATCTAGTATTTAGATTTAGTGAGTGGCGAATTCATTATAGGTTTTTAAGATTTTCACATTGCATACAACATTTGAGCTGAAAGTAATGTGAACCATGAAACCTGCCGTAGATTTGCCTCCAGTTATTATTGCTCACAGAAATTTTTATTGATAGTAATAATGTGTGACATGAATGACAGTTAGCTCCTGACCTGGATATTGACCAATTGGCACAAAGAACAGAAGGTTATAGTGGAGACGATCTAACAAATATCTGTAGAGATGGTTCTTTAAATGGCATGAGATGTAGGATATCAGGGAAAAATCCAGATGAGATTAAGAACATGTCCGAGGCTGAGATTTTGAAAATTCCAGTTACGATGGATGACTTCGTAGAAGCTTTAAAGAAGATACAACCCACAGTTTCTGCAGGGGACATTGAACGACATCAGAAATGGTTTTCAGAATTTGGATCAACATAGAAAATCAGCTAACTAACGCTTAAAAATTGCTAATGTAGGTTAACTGGTTTTTTGTTTTTGGTCTGATATATACAACTATGTTTGACAATGGTCAGATGCCAGTATATATGCCACATATCATCTGTTCTGTTCTATCTTTATATGGTTTTTTTCCGCTGAAGTGTTTTACGTTATTCCAGCAACTCAGTATGTGATTGCGCGCTGTAATTTTGGTGGGCTAATTTTGTCCCCCTAATGTGGCATGATATGGTTTCAATTTGCACGTGATTCTTAGCATGTTTGACCAAGTTTGTTTTTTCTTAAAAGTGCTCTATTTTTTTTTCTTTCTAAAAGTGCATATTTTTAAAAAGCAAGGTGTTTGACCAATATTTTGGGAGAAAGAATTCTCGAGAGCAGAAGAAGTTGTTTTTCAGAAACTGCTTAAATCACTTTTAAAAAGTTTGATCAAACACTAATTACTAAAAGTATTTTTAAAATTATTGATCAAACACAAACTGCTTCTCACCAAAAATACTTTTCAAAATAAGCTAATTTTAAATGTTTGATCAAACAAGCTAGAATCGTCAATAAAACTTTCAAGAGAAATGTTCATGGCAAAGTTTTTTCACGGATTCAACATCCGCTACCTTCTATCTTGATCATTTAGTATATGATTGTATTTGACTAGATATGAAATTAATAAACAATGATTTTGTTTTTATACACAAGCTAAATATAAATAACATGTTAAAAATAAGCTTAGAACGCTGTGGAGTTAAACATGTCATATTATTGTCATATAAACATATGGTCAAAATTGGGTTGAGCAAACATAGCCGATTGTCAAGTCAATAATAGTGTCAAACAACTAAGTTGGTATAGAAGAATTGATGTGCCGCTAGAAATCTCTTCTATACAAGTTTTCAAATGAAATGTTTGGATAGAACTTTGATAATCGAGTGGTGTAAGCACCGCGAGATGCGAAATGATTCATATAAATGAAATAACTTTGACTTTTCATAACAAGAATAAAAGAAAGTTAACCTAATTTTGAAATTATGGCAAGTCTCACTATCTTTTAAATGTCACGGCCTATTTACTCATTTGCAGTTACTACTATAAAAAAGACGATCCTATCTTTAAAGGAGCATCATATGTTCACTTTGTTTTGTTGAAATATGATGGTGATAAACCATTATCTTTGTTGAAATATGTTCAAGACCCTGAAAGCAAAATCTTCATTACTAAAAACTCTACTATGTAAAAAATAAGAATAGAATAGAAATATCATCAAAATTTAAGAACGATATATTCCACTATAATTAATCTTTTCAACCACCTAATAATAGAAAGATGATATTTTTTTTTAAAAGAAAATAACGAAAAAGAAAAGTGTATCTTATAAAATGGAAAATGACTGATATATAAAGCTTTTGTTGCCAAAAGAAAAGAAAGAAACTGTATCTCCTTATTTTTCTAATGCAAAAACAAAAAATATGAAAGAAGTAAAACAAAATTTGGAAAAGCAAAGGGACTATATTTCCGATTTCTTATTCTAGTGGGGGTTCAAAAAGAATTTGGGTATAGTTAAACCGTCTGCTTTGCCCTAACGGAAACTCAACTCAACTCTGGGAGCTTCCGCTAAGAAAGCTATGGGGAAGAAAGCAAGTGGAGTAGGAGAAGAAGGAGATGGATCCACTGGAAAAGAAGGTTACAAGCTTCTGGGCAATCCGACTTTCAAAAAATTGGAGAATGGCCGCTTCAAATGCGTTCAAACAGGGCATGAGCTGCCGGAACACGCTAGGGACTCTTATGCCCACAGCAAGCACTGCCGCTTGGGTCTAATTGATGCTGCTCTTTCTAAGAATAAACCTCCTCTCAATATGTTTAACCAAGATCCTCTCAATCGGTAATTGTCCTTAATTCTTCTACTAGGGTTTTATATGCAAACGCTAATTCACTGCTAGAGGCAATGTATTCTTTTCAAGTAGTAATGTAGTAGGGAATATATCCAGGGAAAAAAATAGTTAATTTGGAACTATTGAGTAAGATTGCACTAGAAACAGCCATACTTTGTTGTTCTCTTTCAACCTTTGGCATTAGAACAATATACGTATTGCACTCGGGGGAAGAGTTTATAAATATAAAGTAACACAGCAGGAGTCCCCTTTTATTTCCTTTTGCCTGAAAAATCCACAGGCTCATCATTCTAATTATTATAATGGGATATACACCTTGAACATTGGAAATTCAATTTAAAGCATATATACAGCTTAAGACCTTAGTAAGACATGTTCGTTTGAATTGTGAAAAGTTGTAGCAATCTGTTGGAATACTTTTGATGTACAACACAGAAATTGATCATTTGTTGCATGCTAGGAGCAAAATTTGTTGGAAATTATGGAGGAAAATTTGATATATGCGTACTTTCCTATTGTTCTTCTGCTAATTTAATCTCTAGTGTAATTTGGTATGCAACTCGTGCAGGTCAAAGTTGATATGTAAATTAACAGGAGATACAGTTAATAAGTCGGAGGAGCACATATGGAAACACATGAGTGGAAAACGGTTTCTCAGAATGTTAGGTTTGTTATGAGCCCCCAGTTACTTGTTTATTGGAAGGTTTGTGTATGTATATTATGTTCTTGTGCATTCTACTGAGTACCACTTATGATACATGCACTACTTTAAACAGAGAAAAAGGAAACTGAAACTGAAATGGAAAATGGAGGGCTAGAAAAGCAAGTAGAAAATGGAGTGGCTAAGAAGACGGATAGCAAAGCTAATCGTCGGGACAAAAAGAAAAACAAAAAGAAAGAAATAGAAGATGCTAGCAAGGTTATATCCGAAATAAGGGATTCTTCTGGAAAGAACAGTGGCTCGGAAGATGATGATGAGTTTTGGATGCCTCCAGTTGGTGCTCGCTGGGACAATGATGATGGAGGTGATCGATGGGGATCTGGTTCGGAATCAGAAGAAGAAGAAGAAGAAGATGCTATTGGGCAAGGTATGCGTTATTAGTAATCGTAAACTTTAAGGGTGGAAATTGCCATAAATCCCATGTATATCTTTGTATGTTAGATCACAACAACAACATACCCAGTGGTTAGAGGCACAAAATAGGGCACCGGAACCCGTGTTCTCTTCGTAAAATTAGATATTTTATGTATATATTTTCTAACATTTGTATAATATTATATTCTGGCACCCGTACTATAAAAAGTCTAGTTAGTCCACATGGTTAAATGTTGAGCTTTTGACCTTGAGGACTGTGGATCAATTCCCACTTAATACATTTTTCTTGGTGCACCCATATTCTACCTAGTATAATCCCACAAGTGGGGTTTGGAGAGGGTGGTGCGTACGCAGTCTTATCCCTACCTTAGGCTGTATGTAAGATAGATAGATAAATGCCTACACTGCATGCAAATTTGGCGATGGTAGGGCAGAAGCTTAACACTGTTCTTGCACAATCAAACCTGTGAATTGAATGTGCTATCTTCTCTACTTTTTCTGTGCTAAATATATTTGTTTCATACTTCATTGCTAGTGAATTGCAATGCATGCTCCTTGAATATTATAAACATAAATCTGATGGAGCTCAACATTAGCTCTTTTATCTACTTTCAGAGGTGTTTGATAAATATTTGCCTTCCAATGTGAGAAAAGTCATTCTTTTTCTCCTTCTCATATATATATATATATATATATATATATATATTTCATGAAGAAGTCATCCCGTTTTCTTCTCTAAAGCCAATTTTTAAAACAAAATATATAAGGCCATACTGCATACGATATAGAGCTCTGTGAATTCAATAAGCATATATATGGTATTGAATTCACAGAGCTCTATATCGTATGCAGTATGGCCTTATATATTTTGTTCTAACAATTGGCTTTTAGAGAAGAAAACGGGATGACTTCTTCATGAAATATATATATATATATATATATTTCATGAAGAAGTCATCCTGTTTTCTTCTCTAAAGCCAATTGTTAGAACAAAATATATAAGGCCATACTGCATACGATATAGAGCTCTGTGAATTCAATAAGCATATATATGGTATTGAATTCACAGAGCTCTATATCGTATGCAGTATGGCCTTATATATTTTGTTCTAACAATTGGCTTTAGAGAAGAAAACAGGATGACTTCTTCATGAAATATATATATATATATATATATTTCATGAAGAAGTCATCCCGTTTTCTTCTCTAAAGCCAATTTTTAAAACAAAATATATAAGGCCATACTGCATACGATATAGAGCTCTGTGAATTCAATACCATATATATGCTTATTGAATTCACAGAGCTCTATATCGTATGCAGTATGGCCTTATATATTTTGTTCTAACAATTGGCTTTTAGAGAAGAAAACGGGATGACTTCTTCATGAAATATATATATATATATATATATATATATATATATATATTTCATGAAGAAGTCATCCTGTTTTCTTCTCTAAAGCCAATTGTTAGAACAAAATATATAAGGCCATACTGCATACGATATAGAGCTCTGTGAATTCAATAAGCATATATATGGTATTGAGGTTTCACTTAGCAGCTAGGCGGCTTGGGTGTGTGTTTGTCAGTATCAGTGCCTATTGAATTTAATTTGGTGAATGCATGAAAAATCTTACTACATTTTCTGTGATCAGATGGAGGAACTGAAGAGGATAACCATGACGCCGGAGAGCTTTCTAAGCGGTATGGTTACTCTGTCAAAGTTTTGATGCCTGCTGCCACACGTTTTGTTGCCCTTCCCCTCTATATTTAAAAATTATATGCAGAAACTGGGTAAACATTTAAATTTAACATGTGAAGATCAAATTTTTGTTTTGTGGCAGGGCAAAACGCATGTCCCTTGAGATTGGACCCAGTAGCTTTGCCTCAAGGAAGAAAAAGAAGAAGACCAGTGCTACATGATATTTGTCCTCCGAAAAAGCATTACAAATTTTGTTATCATCTTGCTTGCTTGCTTCATTTTAGCTTCTTTATTTTGCTTATTATTGTGTTACTGAAGGAAGAGATTTCTTATAATTAGAGCGTCTTTTCTTATATTTAAAACACATTTGTAGATTAATTTTCGGACTATTATTTTGAGACATTGAAAGAACCATTAGTAAAAAAGTAGCAACATTGTAGA